AGGTGGGCAGAGAGGACTCTCTGAAACATGAAATGTGGGATGGATATGCATGGACTTGGGCAWTGTTTAATTTACCGAGGCTGGGTTGATTATTCGTTCCACTACATAAGGTCCAATGAAACAGGGGGACATCTTCCTGCAAGTATTTTTGAGTTGAAAGTTCTTGGTAGATAACCATACCTTTTGACTGACTTGGTACTTGGGTGCCTTGGAACAATTTCGGTCTGCCCATTTATTGTTCTGTTCAGCCGTTCTTTGGAGAGCTTGCTTGGTCTGGCGCCAGATACATCTGCACCTACGGATGTGATGCTGAACAGAAGGGACAGAACACTCGGACTCTACCAGGGGAAACAGTGGAGGGTTATACCCTAATGAGACTTCGAAGGGTGACAAACCAGTGGAGGTGGAGGTATGGGTGTTGTGCGCATATTCCACCCAGCACAGATGTTGTGACGCCATTCTTCAAGGGCGAGCTTGATGGTCAACAACTCATGATTACCCACGTCATAGCTGCACTCAGAGGGGGACAGATGAAGAGAAAAATAGGCGCAGGGGTGGACTTTACCTTCCTCTGTGGATCTCTGTGACAGCGCGGCTCCAACACCAGTATCGGAGGTATCCACCTTGACAATGAACTGCTCTGAGGGAACAGGATGGTGCAAGATGGAAGCAGACACAGAACGACTCTTTAACTCACCAAAGGCAGAGTTGGCTTCAGGGTTCAGAGTTAGATGTAAGTTGTGTTAACGGGGCAGCCACACGGCTGAAGTCCTTTATAAAGCGCTGTTAGAAGTTTGCAAACCCCAGGAAACGCTGCAGTTTTCGTCGATCTGAGGGGATGGGCCACTCTGCCACCACCTTCACCTTCTGGGGGTCAGTCTGAAAATAGCCTTTTCCAAAAATAAATCCCAGAAAGGAGTCTGAGGAAACATGAAAGTCACACTTTTCTGCYTTGACAAAAAGTTGTTTTTTGAGAAGCCTTTGAAGAACTGCCCTGATGATTTGGATGTGCTGTGAGGAGTCTTGTGAGTAAATGAGGAAATCGTCCAAATAGACGAATACAAATGAGTTGAGAAAATCTCTTAATGCATCGTTGATTAATGATTGAAAAACTGCTGGAGCGTTGGTAAGGCCGAACGGCATAACAAGATATTTAAAATGTCTGAGTGGTGTCTTAAAAGCAGTTATCCACTCATCCCCCTCTTTGATCCTTACCAAATGGTAAGCGTTTCTTAAATCAAGCTTGGTAAAGGAGAATCCTCAGCAGGTGCACACAATCGGGGAAACAGCCAATCACCATGTAAGAGAGTAACAACTGCCAATCTTAACAACTTGACTGGCCTCCCTCCTCCTCAAAATGACGACCCTGACCCACAGCCCCGTCCTCGACAACAGCAATTTCAATGCGGAGCATAGCTGCGTGAGGAAGTCATGTGTCGAATAACACAGCAGTAAGGTTCACTTTTTAACCAATTCTTTTAATGAATCAGAAATGTCAGACATGACAGCACATAAACTGACTAAGCTTGTTCTGATTTGTCAATTCGTTGATTGTTTCCCTCTGATTTTCAAGGACAGCAGTCGTCAGCACCCGACCTCCCCCGGAGGGATGACCAGCCTGTGCTGCACTGGTGCTGGGGACAGCCGGATCCTCTGCGCCCATCCTCCCTTCACCCAGAGTGTCCTCGCCAACTGCCGACTGTGCGGGGCCTGAGGACACAAAAACATCGATAAAAAAATCTTTTTTTTCATATTGTTCCTTTATCTGTGATACAATATAAAATAAACTGGTTTACCTGGATCATCTGTGGTCTCAGCCAAATCAGTGTCTCCCTCCTTTTCTGACACAATGCCACACAAGCTTGTCTCCCCGAGTATTGACGCCATCCTATTTTCTAACAGTGTCAGATCGGGGACGCCCTTACCCCCACCTGTGGCTGCATTGCTTTGACGGTGGCCAGTCAGATGTTTTTTTCGCATCCACCCTCAAATCGGATCACTTTTTCTTTACTTCCGTCATGGTGCGCTCAGTCCCACTCACTGAATTAACAGAGGTCACAACATGTTCCCACTCGCTGCGCTTCCTTTTATTTGTAATACCACTAATGTGGCTTCCAAAAAGAACATTTCTTCTGTTCTCCACCTCACTCACAAGTACATCGATTTCTGCGTCTGAAAAATTTTGCTTCTTAGCTTCTTTCCCCGTGGCTGCCATCGTAATCATGAGTTGACATGGATCAGCTGACTCATTTAAATACATCTTAACATTCATGAGATACTTTGCATTGACCGTTTATGGTTGAATGTGGGCGTGGAGAGGGTAGAACGTGAGGCGGGACCTTGTGCGCAAATTATGAGGCACAGCTGTGATCTATAAAGGGAAAATGCAGTGAAAGAAGTGTACGCATGATTTTATAAATCTGAATTATTTTTTTTTGGCATACGCCATTTCCGCCTTTTGGCCGTACGTTCACTTTTAGTATGGTTTACACGCAATCCTTTATTAATGAGACCCCTGAACTGTGACTGCATTAAAAAATTCTAAAAAAAATTTGGATTATTGATACTGTAGCAGGATTTCTGCTCATTGGATTTGGTGGATACCTGTGAAATTCGGAAAGTGTCGGCAGCTGTTCAGGCCATGGTGAGGCTGCCTGGCTTTTGTGATGGAATATGCTGAGCTGTCAACACGCAGACGCTTTTGGAGCAGAAATGCAAGTTGAAGGCTTCGCTCAGCTGTGGCTCCCGATCTCGATGCAGAATGGAATTGATCTTTTAGAAGTTGTACGCTCAGTGAGGYGAGAATGACCAAGAAATTCAGATGATTGGAATTTGCCAATGAGGGGTCCTAGTGAGACTTTAAGGTGAAGATATAATCAACAGTGTTGGCCTGTACTAAACAATTGGGATTGTCTGATCTGGTTCCCACTTGTCGACCTTGGAGGCTGAATACCTCAAACTCTCCTGGATGTCATGTAAACTGAGACTCAGCCCCCACCATCCCCCCTCCCACTCACRTCTGTGAACTGGTGTCTGAGCAACCAAGGTCGACCTGATGAAGGCTACATCAGTTCAGGAACTATGGCAGGGTGGGGATGTGGAGACTGGTTTCACARTCTTATTTCACAGATGCACAAACAACATTTCCAGAGCTTCAGATCAACACACAACTCATTGCCTTTGCTGGCTTCCTCCCTCCGTTCCTTTCCTCCTTCCCTTGCCCTTCCTTATCCTCACTATATGTGCTCTAGGCAGAGGGGKTTTTGCAATCTCACATTGTGTCCAGCAGAGATGCAGTACTATGCAGAGACTTACTATGATTTTTTTTATCCCTGATCTACCCATCATGTTGGCCATTATTCTTTTTTTTTATTGATGGCCTCCCTTCTCCCCTCATAGCCATCCTCTCCACACATTATTATGATTTTTTTTTATTAATAGAAGAAAAAGAAGAAGAAAGAAAAAAGTGAAATGTAATGATAAAGAGTGAAA